CTTTCGGTTTATTTTCAGTTCAAGTTCGATTGAACATTTTGACTCTTGACTTTTTATTTTTTCATATCAAAGTAACATTAAAAGCCCCTAAAAAATACGATAAGCAACTTTATGGTCCATTGTGCTAATGTCACAACCATGACACCTTTCTACTAAACAAAGAATGTCAACCCTTCTTAGTTAACCACCGAACTTTCTCTTAATTTCTTCCCTTTGTCTTCAAATATTCAGCACTTTGGACTGAAATTTGGACATCTAGTCCAAATTAAGAACTTTATTCGAAACTTCTTTGTGAAAAAAGTGTCCACAGAGAAGCAAATCGATTCATATTCTTTTGTAGTTGCAATAGAACGTGTCCTTGGCTAGTTGACATGCAATCATTTTGACCTTTTCATTCATGATGCCCGTAACTTGGTCAAATTTGTTGTTGGTTTCTGAATAAAATTTTTATATCTTACCCCAATTTCGAGATGTCTAAATTCTATTAGTGAAACATGCAAGGAGACAACAAAAATGAGGACGACTGATGCGAAGTACTTTAAAGAAATTTTATCAAGTGATTCATACAAGCTATTTTAAAATATCAGTATTTAGTTATTCACACACCCGTTGATCTCGCTTTAATATTTGGAAACAAGAAGTAGTTTATAGTATTTAGAGAGAAATTTATGCCTAACTATTAAGACTTAAGAGGAAAAAGAAGCATAATAAAATTATACCTTTATTTCCTAGTAAATAGGTCTAGACATTACAATGACCATATTTTTTTTTATATATTTTTCTCCAATTATCAAATCTTCCATATCAAAATCGTATGAGTATGTTTGGTTTCAAGCAGATTTACCAAACAAATTCTGGTCTTATTCCATTCTGATGGCCACCCACATAATAAATAGACTCCCTTCAAAAATCCTTCGATGGCTTACCCCTTTTGAGAGGTTATATGGCAGGAAACCTGATTATTCACAACTTAGGACTTTTGGTTCTCTTTGCTATATTGCTAATACTAAATCGCATAAAGATAAATTTGAGGAGAGGGGTTATAAATGTGTTTTCCTAGGTTACAGTCCTGGGCAAAAGGGATTCAAATCTTCAACATTGCCACTAAACAGATTCAAGTGTCACGAGATATCAAATTTTTTGAAACCATTTTTCCTTTCAAAGATTTAGCTTCAGTTGATTTGTCTCCTCCTTTACCTTTCACTCAGGGATTTGATCTGGATGAAGATACCACTTCACCCTTGCTGAATATTCCACCAGAAACAGAGTTGCAACAAAATTCTACAGTTCCACCTACTCCAACTACTGAGTCAATTCCTTTGATACCTGTTCCCTTCCTTGACACAGTCTGTTGAAAACTACATTCCATCGCCTCTTGCCTTACCATCTACTTCTGTTCCAACTCTTCGACAGAGTACCAGAAATAAATCTAAACCCCCCTGGATGCAAGATTTTGTTACCAATGTTGATAGCACAGAGGTTTTGCCAACTGCTGATCTACTTTCACTTCGCAGGGAGATTCCATCAACCTCTACAGGGTATTCACCTCCTACTTTTCCTTACCATATTTCACCCCACATTAGTACATCACATTCTGCATTTCTAGCTACCTTGTCAACTGTTCAGGAACCACATTCTTACACTCAAGCTAGTCAAAGCAAGGATTGGACTC